GGTATATATAGACTAATTACCTTCTTACTACATCATCTTAAATTGTTTTAAAAGTTTGTCATGTTTTGTGAGTCTATCATAAGTATGAGTAAAGATTCTTCATTAATTGCCAAAAAAAAGTGGAGGCATCCTTGAAGGAAAATGTCTAAGGTATACATGATGTTAGTTTCCCTAAAAGGAAAAAAAAAGTTTTCTAAAGGATATTTCTATCATGAGAGAATTTCCTAAGATGCTTACGAGGGATGTTAATAGTCTATCTCCTGGACATGATGTTAAGTTTCCCATAGATTTGGTACCTAGTACTAAACCTATCTTCATTACTATTTATAATATGTCACCTTTATAGCTAACTATGATTAAAAAATAGTTAGAATAGTTGTTAAAGAAACAGTTTGTGAGACCTAGTGCGTCCTAGTAGAAAACACTAGTGTTTTTTATGAAGAAAAATGATAAAAATATGAGATTGTATGTAGACCATCATCAACTTAGCAAAGTAACCTTTAAGAATAAACACTCTCTTCTTCGGATAGATGACCTTAATTATGGATTAGTTGGTGGGTGCTTGCATTGATCAAACTCAAGATAAAGACATGGTATAGTTAATTTTGATGATTACAAATATAATTGTCTTGATGTTTGTTTTGTACTTTTTAGTTATCTTAGCTTTAAATCTTCATATAAACGATGTTTAATGATGAAAAGAAGTTTTAAAAATGATTTAAAAAGAGATTTGATTGGAAAAATCAAAGTATTGAGTTTTCATTCCAAATCATAAACAGCTATATGATTATTAAAATCCGATATTGAATGTATCTCAACACTATATCCTATAACTAGTTATATATCAATATATTTCGTTGAAAAGTCTTAGAAAAGCTTTTAAACCAAGATTCAAAGAGAAAATTTTTTAATATCCAATTCACCTTTTTTCTTGGATAAACCATCTTTTCTAAAACTTGTACATTTAGCAAAGCTAAACTTGAGGTCATGTTGTCATCAAATTTGCATGAAATCTAAAGACATCTCAAAGACTATTTTTAGGAGTATTTAGTTATGTCTTTTAGCGTGAACAATACATTTGGTGTGTTCATGGGCTACATGAATAAAAACTTTTACCTTACCTTAACTTTGTTGTAGATTTTATAAAAGACATCCCAGTGTACTAAGTTCAGGGACAAGCATTTGAGAGTTGTGTTACAAACCATTAAAGACAATCAGTTATATGTCAAGTTGTTCAAGTATGAATTTTATTTGAAAAAGTTTAGTTTCTTAGAACATGCGATATCTAAGAGTTTGTATATGATATTATGTGTTTGATAAAAAAAACATTTTTTATGAGTATTTTCTACAAAATTTGATTGAAGTTTGAACATTGTTTATACTTACATATAGATATTTAATGTTGATTCGTATTTCTTAGTTGTTATTCTGTGTCATTGATGAGCCAATTGAATATATCTCAAGTCATAGCTGCTTGGTGTATTGACATAGTTTGATTGAAGTTTACATAAATTGTTTGTGCTTATAGCTTATTTAATATTCATCTGTATTAACTTTTGTTTTAAATGCTAAAAGTTGTACATGGAAGGTTGGTGTGCGAAGCGTTGGCCTGAAAGCAACTTCATGGCAAAAGAATTAATATCGTGAGAGGATTCCATTGGTTAGCACATACAGATTGAAAGCGTTTCGGGTGATATGCAGGACACTGTATGTGATATTGACCTCTGTCATTGCTATCCTATAACCCGGAAATCCGTCGAAAAAAGCAAAATCCGTCGGAAATTTACCTATTTCCATCGGAAATTTCCATCAGAAATCAGCATTTTTCTTGTAGTGACGACTTACAAAACATCAGATTATGCCAGGTTTACATCGTTTTTTGGATAACCGATGTAAATATAGCGACGTAAAATAGTAATTTTCTAGTAGTGTCTTGAAATGATTATCTTAAAATGCGAGATATGTCATAATTTTCTTATTAGTCTTTAAATATGAACAATAATAATGAGACATCAAAGACGCACTTAAGTAATTCAAAAAATCATAACTTAAGTAATACTACTTCATCTTCGATTTAGATCATATAAACTCGAGTATTTACCACTTAAGTTACTAATAATGGTTCGTTTAAGCTAGAGATAATTCTTTTGGTCTAGTTTAAACTATCAAAAATGATTTGCCCAAGTAATAATTAACTTTTTTTACAAACTCCTTCACATGTAAAACTTAATTAAAACTAAACAAATATTAATTAAAACTCAGAAGTTTATTTAAATTTACTTATTTGTAATTTTTATGAAATTTTAATTTAAATAATGTTCAAAAGCATAAAAAATTAAAACTAATTATTAATATATGTTTAAAAAATAAATCATATATAATGATTAGGAAGGCACGAGATTCACGCGCCCTTAGTACTAGCGAGTATTGTGTAAGTGTTAAAATTTTGCAAATGATGAAACCAAACTCGTATACGATAGTACTAATAAAATTGAAAGAAATAAAAGAAGTGGGATGTGTAGTTTAAAAAAAGGCTTAAAAAATGCATGTGCCCATTCAACGTCATTATAGTTCGCCTATTCCAATTATTTATGGCCCAGCTATCATGAGCCCGTAAATGACCAAAGCCCATTAATAGATCTATCATAAAATGTAGGCTTGTGCAGTGGCCAAAGCCCACTAATAACTTTTTTTTATTATATAAGAAAGGGTTATTAAGAAAGTTGATTATGAATCTAATTTTATCTTACAAAATTATTTATTATAAAAATTATTCTTCATTTTATCATTAATTAATATGATATTTCTAACATATTTTCCTTACATCAATTATACACATATCTAATATGAAATTTGTAGAATTTTTATTTATTTATATATATTATTATGATTTAATCACTAATCAAAATAAGATCTTTAACACATTTTTTCATGTTGAGAATAGAGTATATCGAGTATAAAATTTGTAGTGACCTAATATATTTAACAACATTTAATATTCATAAAGATAAAAATAAACTTTAATATTATCTTTAAAAAAATAATTATTATGAATCTAACCAACTTATATAATCTGTTATAGTTGCAAGAGGTTTAAGATAGAAGATGTGAGGATTGTTTAAAGGCCTAGTGTTTTTGTTGACTTTGGGTTTGGGAAGAGGTTGGGTGAGAAAAAGTGAATAAAATAAGAAGGAATGGAAGAGGAAAGTGACGTGCGGCGAGTAGCTTACTTTAACCCATTCCTCATCTTTCACTAGAACTGCACTTTTGGCAGGTTGTGTTGTACACCCAGATGTCCATTTCCCTTCCCTTCCCTTCCTCCCACCTTCATTCATACTTCAAGTGACATCATTGCATTGCCACTACCTACACTTCATTTCTTATATTTCAAACTTCCCCAACAACTATAATCAACTCGATTAATGCATTTCTTTAATCAAACTTTGGGTACTGATTTTCACATACCAATCAAAAGAGAGAGAGAAAGAGAAGTAGTACTCCATTCCTTGTTTTAGATGGTACTGACAATTACTGTGCGTTTGTTTTTAGGGAAAGGTCATCATGGTTATAATGTATTGTAAACCAGACATCTCATAGGGAACATGCAACATATCTTATGTTGGAAACACACACAAGGCTAGGCCCCCATTACACACACCAAAAGGTTAACAAATTGAGTTACCATAAGCAAATTCATCTCTCTTCGTGCGCATTTCTTCTATCTTCTTTTTGACAGTTTATCTGAAAAGGACATGAAATTCATAACAGGTTGAATGTCCCTCCTGACATTTTTTCTGCCTCTTCCTTTTCATTCTACTCTTGTATTATTATGCTTACGTAATCTCATACATGTTTCTAGCTCGTATTTTTTGGTCTTCTGAATCATCACATACCAAAACCACGGCGCTTTCAAAATCACCTAGAGCATTAAATACCTGCTTATGATATTATACAGTAATATTCTTTTTTTTTTATACCACTTCATTTTTTTATTACACCTCTCTTTTGTACATGCTTACGAATAAAGAGAGAAGCTTTTTTCACCTTTTAATTATAAAAGAAAGATATATATATATATAAGGGAGTGTACAGGAAAGTAACTTAGGAATAATATTACTTTATATATTAAATAAATACGTGTGTGTAGCTATACAAGTACGCTAAGATGTATTTGAAATTATAAAATTTAAGAAGATTGACATTTTATTTATGATGAAGATATTGCTGCAAAGTATTTACTTATTTCTTTAATGATTAATTAATTTCAGTTAGAAAAGTTAACCGACTATAGAGTCATGCCTTCGGCCATTTTCTTTTTCTATTCACAATGCTCAAAAAGAAGAGAGAAAAGATTGACTGAATATTTGTGAAGAATTCCTAGATGACAAACCGGAAGAGCCAAATATTTTAAATGAATGTTCAATAAATAAATCTGCCCTCGCGCGCTACGGTGTCTAATAAGAAAATACAGGTGTGGTTGAATAATTGCACTGTAATAACTATAGGATATAATAATGAGTAGTCTTACTTGATCGAAATTATATGTTGAGTTAATTTCTTATATTGATTTGATTGTTTATTTATATGTACATTGTACAGCTTATTATAAATAAATCTTTTTGAGAACTTTAAAATAAAAGCATGATGTTCTGTTTGAATATAATATTATGTGTGTTTCCAAGAAAGAACAAGACAGAAACTACCCTCAAGAAACATGAAGACTGCAAGGTGCTTGTATACAGGAAAATGCATGGATACTTTAAAGAATATCTAACTGAATGATCACGTGTTCATCTATCTTGAGAGACTGATGAGGAAATTAATTATAGTTTGTAGAAAATCATATTAAATATTTATATTCAGTCAAACTAAACAAAAACCCTACTCATTGACTGTCAGATCAGACGATCAAGGTGAAGATTTTTGAAAAGCATGATCAAAATTTGACTGCCACTTGAGACCTATACAACAGTATATGAACATTACAAGAATCTCTCCAAGTTTCATCTCCTTTGTAATTTTTAGTTTTTGCCTTTAATTTTTTTTTCACTTGGCCATTACACCAAACTGATTTTCAATTCTACGAACCTTGGATCACAAAAGAAAACAACAAAAATATAGAACTATTGCAAATTTGCAACCTTAAAAGAGTGCTCACAAAATATAAGGTACTTAAAATGCAGAATAGAATAAAAAAAAAAACATAAATGGGTAAAAAAAATTACTGGTGCAAGAAGTTAAAACAAATTTGAAGTTGCAGACTTGCAGATCAGCTAGATATTTGTTTTATAAATTGCACCAAGCCACATAGCTAGCAAGCTAGAAGTGCCCCAATCGTAGCTCCAAATCTAACTTCTCCTTTGGTTGTTTAAGCAGTCCTATCCCCAACTCCAGCTTGATGTTATGCTCATTACTCTTGAAATTGAAACCCTTGTGTTCCTCTCCTATTACACAACCCTGTGCTTCTTCAACTCCTAAACCACTTCCTGTGTTCTTACTCGTCTTAATTTCTTCACTGCTTTGAGGAATCGAAAGAGGAAGAAGTCTTGGTTTCTTATCTCCATTAGATGAAGCTGGGGTCAGTGAAGAAGACAAAGCCAAAGGAGGGCTACAAAGTGGAGAAATATGTGCACAATTCAAAAGCTTATTAGATAGAAAAGATGATGGAGAGGAGGGTGAAAGATGAGTTGGGTAAGGGTTATTAGGTTTAATGCTAGGGTTAGGTTTAGGAGACTCAGAAACCCATGATGAGGGTAGGGAAGATCTCAGTCTTGCCCTATCCCTTCTGTGAACATTCATGTGGCCGCCCAAGGCTTGAGCGGACTTGAACTCTCTCTTGCAAAAGCTACAAGCATAATTTCTAGCAGTCCATGAACTACCCCATGAATGCTCCTCAAACCCAAACCTCTCCCCTTTATGCATGTTTCTGGTCACATAGTTTCCTTCCATGGAACTCTTGGTCTTGTTTCTATCCAAAATGTTACCTTACCTGCACAAAGAACAAAATAAAGATAGATATATATAGTCACATAATTATTGAAAAAATTGACATTGTTAGGCTAATGGATCTAGGTAGTTCTTACAAAAGACTTTCTTCTACGGACTTCAATGAGTAGAATGATCCGTAAATATGTTGATAATTGACATATATTGAAGCTGAGGTTCATATATATTCTGAGGCAGAAAGTGAAGATCTCTCTCAGCAGGCGTACTACATCTGCCACTGTCTGCACTCTGCAGCTACTGTATTTGGATACTTCTTTCTTTGCATGTATAATGGAGAAGCTATGTGAAAGAGGTATTCCCTTTTGCCTTAACCTGGAAACCTCTCGCAAATAATGCTTATACTATATTACACTCTAGTGCCTTTCACCAGAATTTGACTTCTAAAAAATATACTATTGGAATGATCCCACATAATGTATGTACCCACGCAATATTAAGCCCCTAATAGAAACATAACTTCACTTTTTTGCGGTTGATCTATTGACAAGTTTTGCAATTCTGAATAAGTGAAGTGGGTTTTTAACTATCATTTTTCTTGTTATTGCATTCGGAGGGGCAATAGAGTTATTATATGATAAACCAAACCATGTTCAGTAGTGTAATTTGCCAAAGATATGTATCATAAATATTTCAATATCATATTGGCATGCTCAAATTAACTAAAATTGAAGTTAATTAACAAACACATTATAATGGCTAATTAAGGTGTGGTTCATGCCTTAAAACTTGGGTTTCTGGTATCGATATTTAATTAAGAGATATTTTTTAATTTGTATCAAGTCACCTGGGAAGTAAGGATGTGAATGCGAGGATATCTCGTAATTAATACATGAAAAAAAAAATGAACTAAAGCTAGTTTTTGTTGTTTGTAAAATTGTGATAAATCTAAAAATTGCGATAGAAAAGAACTATTTAATTTTTTTCTTTTGGTGCAGTAGTAAACTAATATATAAGTACATTCTCCATAATTTTATAATCCTTAGTGTGTTTGGATGAAAAATTTTACAAATTCAAAGAATTTAAAATTTTTGATATTTGAATTACTTCGATTTCAATTTTTATCATTCTTAAAATATTTTGTTTGAATAAGTCAATTTTAAATTTTTAAATTTTTAAATTTTTAGTTTGAATATGATAATTTGATTCTACCATGGTAAAATTAATTTTAAAAATATATTCATATTTCGATACTTTTAAATTAAATTTTATAAAAATAAATATTAGTCAATTTTAAAATATTTAATAATTTTAAAAATATTTTTTAATATTCAATAATTAAAAGAATGAAGATATAAGAGATGAGATAAACTATATAAGTGAAATAAGAAAAAAAATATGAGAAATTTCAAATTCTTCCTATTTTGAGAGAATTTGAAATTTTACTATTTTAAGAAATTTTATTAATGTTTGGATTTCAAATTCTTTATAAATTATCTATCCAAATAAAATATTTTACCTCAAGAAATTTAAAATTCTTCAAATAAGTGAATTACACTATTTAAATTTCCCATCTAAACACAATAGGAATTTGAAAATTTTCAAATAAGTCGAATTAATGATTGACTTTATTCTTATTTTCTGAAAAAAATAAAAAAATATTCAATATATATATATATAACCATTAATTAAAATTATATTATTTTATAATTTTTATTAATTTAAAGATTAAATTACTCCACTAATTCTTAAATTATTTGAAAGGTTTCAATTAATTAGGTGGTTGATTTTTCTAATTAGAAACCTAAACTACATAAGAAGATTTCTTATATTAGTTTTTGACAACTTGAAATTGAAAAAAAAAAACATTTATGATGATTTAAAAAATTCTAAAGACTCAATTAAAAAGTTACATAATGAAAGACTCGATTAAAAATCACATACTTTAAAAATTAACCGAAGTGGATGCATTCCAATTTATTGGGATGAAAAAAAAATTTTGCCCTCATAATTATATGTGGATAAATTCCTTCTTTCATACATATGAGTATAAGTATTTTTTTACTTATTTAATGGAGTGTAGATAAATATGGTAGTATTAATACTTACGAATAGCTGTCAAATATTATTATTTAAATATTCTTATATATATAAAAGTAAATAATCTTAAATTATTTAATTTAGGATTATTTTTTCATTACTTAGGAATATTTCCTATCAAACATGATGATAATCTCTTTTAAGAGTTTGACAGATACTAAATAGGTGGACTTTGCTTCTCAACACATTTGCAAAATGATATATAATAATAATGTCAGAATATATGATAATATATTCTGATTTATTATAATATCTGTTAGGCGTATATTTAGTTCTTTATTTATAGCTAATTTGTTTCCCAATTTTAGCTAAATTATCCTCTGTATAATGTGTATATAACCTTTTCTCTGACTTTCGCTCATAGCCCTAGTGCCGTTTCTCCCTGCTTCTTTGTCTTCTTCATCCTCCTAACCTCCATGTCTGACTCAAAATCTTCCTTTCACCCTGCTCTCGTTGTATCTAACATCAGGAACCACGTTCCCATCACTCTTGAGATGGAAAACGTGCAATACATGACATGGGCGAAACTCTTCAAAATTCTCGCACGCTCCCATAAAGTAATTGATCATATTATTCCTCCAGCGAAAAGCAAGGAGAAAGTTCCTCAAACAAAGGAGGAGGAAGAACTATGGTCGACCCTTGATGCTACCGTTCTTCAGTGGATTTACGCCACTATTTCTCATGATCTTTTAGATACCATTCTTGAACCTGACACCATGGCAATGGAGGCTTGGAATAGATTGCGTGACATATTCTAGGATAACAAACACTCTTGTGCCGTCACCTTGAGTATGACTTCACTCACACCGACATGACAGATTTTTCAAATGTCTCTGCATATTGTCAACATCTCCAATCTCTGTCGGATCAACTCAAGAATGTCGGCTTTCCCGTCGCCAACAATAGACTTGTTCTTCAACTAGTCTCTAGTCTCACCGAGCCCTACAACGGTGTGGCCACCCTTATTCGCCAAAGTGATCCCTTGCCCTAATTTTATCAAGCCTGTTCAATGCTCACTCTTGAAGAGGCCGGCCTTGCCAAAAAGGTAGCACAGAACTCGTTATCCGCCATGATTGCTCGTGACTCGGATGACTCTCTTGATATTTCTGATTATCCCTCTTCGAACCACAATAATGGTGGGAAGAGGAGCCAAAATCGTAACAATAATGGAGGGAAAAATCGTCGCAACAATGGTAGTCGTGGCAGCGGAAAGGGCGGCACTAGCCGTGGGGGTATAATCGGAGGCAGCAATAGCCACGGTGGTGGACAGCAGCAAGCCAATCAGCAAGCTCCGGCCAATGTCCCATGGCCTGGCGAACAACCGTGGCCTTGGCAGTGAATGACTCAGTGGGCTACACCTCCTTGTCCGGACCCTACTAATTCATGGGCTAGGCCCAAATTTGGACAGCAACAGCATCAACAGCCTGGTGTACTCGGGCCTAGACCTCCGCAAGCCTACACCGTAACACTAACTCCAACAGACATAGAAGCCGCAATGCATACTCTCGACATCAGTCCTCCGGATGCAAATTGGTACATGGACACTGGTGCTACTTCTCACATGATATCCGCACAAGGTAACCTCACATCTTATTTTAATATGAGCAACAAACATGGTATAATTGTTGGTAACGGTCATTCAATTCCAATTCATGGCTATGGTCACACCAAATTGTCATTCCTGTGTCCTCTCTTAACATTAAACAATGTCCTTCATGCTCCTCAACTTGTTAAAAACTTGGTGTTAGTTAGAAAGTTTACAACTGATAACTCTGTTTCTGTTGAATTTGATCCCTTTGGATTTTCAGACGGGGAAGCCGGTAATGAGGTGTGAGAGTCGGGGCGAGCTTTATCCCATCACCAAGCCTACAAATCCATATACCTTTGCTGAGTTTTATCCCATTACCAAGCCTATAAATACATATACCTTTGCTGCCGTAACACCATCTCTTTGGCATGATCGTTTGGGTCACCCGGGAGCACCTATTTTGAACTCCCTTAGGAAGAATAAATTGATTAAATGTAATCAAATTAAGGATTCTCGTATTTGGCATTCATGTCCTCTTGGAAAACATGTTAAGTTTCCATTTTATGCTTCAAATTCTTGCACCATATTATGCCATTTGATATTATCCATAGTGATCTTTGGACATCACCTGTTTTGAGTTCATCGGGTCATAGATATTATGTCTTGTTTGTGGATGATTATTCTAAATTTTTGTGGACATTTCCTTTATCGCAAAAATCACAAACTTATTCCACATTTTTGAATTTCAAATCCCTCATCCGAACTCAATTTGAACGAGACAAAAAATATATCGTGTGATAATGGCACCGAATTTGATAATGGGCCTTTTTGGGAATTTTGTAAGGCTAATGGTATTTCTTTTCGTTTTTCATGTCCTCATACATCCCCTCAATATGGGAAAGCTGAAAGATAAATTCGTACAATCAACAACATTGTACGTACCTTATTGGCCCATGCTTCTCTTCCCCCTTCTTTTTGGCATCACGCTTTGCAAATGGCAACATACCTTCTCAATATTCTTCCTCACAAGTTATTAAACTATCATTCTCCTCTCCGAATCCTTTATCAAAAGGACCCATCTTATTCTCATCTTCGAGTGTTTGGGTGTTTATATTATCCTCTCATTCCTTCTACAGCCATAAACAAATTTCAACCTCGGTCTACTATTGTGTTTTTTTGGGGTATCCTCCGAATCATCGTGGGTACAAATGCTTTGATTTATCATCTAAAAAAATCATCATTAGCCGTCATGTAATTTTTGATGAGACGCAATTTCCCTTTGCATAGTTACATACTCATCAAAATCACACTTATGAGTTTTTAGATGATGGACCATCTCCCTATATGGTCTCTCATTCCTCTACTCAAACAAGACCACAAGCTACTCTTTTACCCAACTCACTAGAGCCCATTTCACCGGATCCAACAACCGACTTGCGCAACCAGCAACAAAGCCTTCCCATGCTGACTAGGCGGAGCCCCTCCACCCCACCTCCTCTCGTACTCATCTCTCTTCCTCGCCCAACTCCAAGCTCATATCCAAGCCCACCAAAAAGGCCTGTTACCAAAAGCCAGCATGGGATTTATAAGCCTAAGAAGTCCTTCACTCTTCTTACCTCTGTGCCTAAGTCCCCACTACCTCGTAACCCTGTATATGCTCTTCGTGACCCGAATTGGAAAAAGGTTATGAATGATGAATAGGATGCTCTTATTAATAATAAGATGTGGGAGTTGGTGCCCCGTCCAACTAATGTTAATGTAATTCGGTCTATGTGGACTTTTTCTCATAAAGACAAATCTGATGGTTCTTTTGAGAGGCATAAAGCTTGTCTTGTAGGTGATGGTAAAACTCAACAAGTTGGCGTGGATTGTGGTGAAACGTTTAGTCCGGTGGTCAAACTAGCAACTATTCACATAGTTCTCAGTTTAGCTCTTTCTAAAGCTTGGTCTATTCATCAACTTGACGTAAAAAATGCATTCTTACATGGAGAGCTCAAGGAAACTGTTTACATGCATCAATCCTTGGGGTTTCGAGACCCTGATCGACCTAATCACGTGTGTTTGCTAAAGAAATCTCTTTATGGGCTTAAACAAGCCCCACGGGCTTGGTATAAGAGATTTGCTAACTATGTCCGTACTCTTGGATTTTCTTACAGTATTTCGGATCATTCTCTGTTCATTTATCGTCGAGGTACTTCTATGGCTTATTTATTGTTATATGTGGATGATATAATTTTGACTGCTTCTTCTGATGAGCTTCCTAAGTCTATCATATCCCTTCTTAGCTCAGAATTTTCTATGAAGGACTTGGGACATTTAAGCTACTTTCTGGGCATCAATGTCACTCATCATGCAGGTGGTTTATTTTTATCTAAAAAAAATATGTTTCAGAGATCATTGATCGAGCTGGCATGTCATCGTGTAAGCCATCTCCTACTCCTGTTGATACCAAACCAAAGATCAGTGCTACTACAAGCACACCTTTTGAGGATCCATCTCTTTATAGGAGTCTTGTTGGGGCTCTTCAGTACCTTATATTCACAAGACCCGACATTACTTATGCCGTGCAACAGCCCAAGGGAGGAGCACATGCACGCTCTCAAACGCATTTTGCGTTACATTCAAGGTACTATGGATCTTGGTTTTCATCTATATCCATCTTCTACATCCACCCTTCTTTCTTATACTGATGCTGATTGGGGTGGCTGCCTAGATACACGACGTTCTACATCTGGTTATTGTGTTTTTCTGGGAGATAACTTAATCTCTTGGTCCGCCAAACAACAACCTACCTTATCATGATCTAGTGTAGAGGCAGAATACTGAGGGGTTGCCAATGTGGTTTCTGAGTCATGTTGGTTGAGAAATTTACTTTTGGAGCTTCATTGTCCAATTCAAAAGGCTACATTGGTATATTGTGACAATGTTAGTGCCATATACCTTGCTGGAAATCCTGTTCATCATCAACACACTAAGCATATTGAAATGATATACATTTTGTTCGAAAAAAAGGTTGCTCGCGGCCAGGTTCGAGTGCTTCATGTCCCCTCACGTTATCAAATTGCAGATATTTTCACCAAGGGTCTTCCGCTGGTGTTATTTGAGGATTTTCGAGACAGTCTTAGCATTCGGCGACCTCCTGCTTTGACTGCGGGGGTGTGTTAGAATATATGATAATATATTTTGATTTATTATAATATCTGTTAGGCGTATATTTAGTTCCTTATTTATAGCTAATTTGTTTCCCAATTTTAGCCAAATTATACTCTGTATAATGTATATATAAACAGATGACAAGGAATTATTCTCTTTTAAATAATAATAATAATAATAATAATAATAATAATAGTTAAAATGAGTTGCAATATTATTGTCTTATTGATAGGTTCTAGCAACTAAATTGAAGTAACTAGCAAAAAAAAAAAAATGAGAAAGAAAGGAAAACTTCATTCACTAATCTTCATATATGAAAGCAATTCAAAAAGCTTCTTTAATAAAGCAAAACATTAACAAAAAAAAAAAAGCTACAAAATCCATTGCATCCATGTGAAGGATCCAACAGAAAGGAAAAATACATACCCCTAAACTAATAGTAGTTATTAAGTCATTACTATAAGAAATGTTATATACAGTGACATGCAAAAAAATGTCACTATAGGTACAATATATGTAGGTATATCTCTATTTGATATATAGTTATATATAATTTTAGTATTAATTTTGAATGAGATTTAACAATATATTTTGTGTATCACTAAAATATATCATTATAGCCTATACCCACACTTTTTAATAATATATATATATATATAT